AGCGGCGCTGTCGTCGAGGAAAATTGTGTAAGTGTCCTTTTCCTGTCGTCACCTAATTACGGTGCGATAACAAATTGCGAGATCGTGACTCACGTGAATTACATACCTGAGCACGACTCTCGCGTGCGGACTTTAATCTGGAGCATTATTTAAGCGCCTCAATCGATTCACGTATCTCACGGCATACATCTCGTGATAATAAATGTTTTCGTTCACCTCTCTCGTGACAGCTCGATGAGAAATGCAATGCGGTGCGCAGATTATCAAGTAAATGCTGTGAGATATGTGTATTATCTTGCGTAATATGCTAATTATTGCTTATTTAATACACTCAAACGCGTGCGATGTGCGTGTAAGAATTCGAAAAAAAAAAAAAGATTCGCGACATTATTATATTCGTGAAAAGTGCTTCAAGCGTTTCTTCCGTCGGCTGTCACAGTGCGGCTGAACTTGCTCGCGTGAAATTATTCCGAGTGCCAAGCAGTACGTGTGCATCTCGCTTTGTAGAGTGCTTAGCGAGGGATGAAGATTGCGAGGTGATAATTATCAGCGCGCGACTGACTTAGGATTGCCATCCGTTCTCTTCTCCCCACAGTCCTCTTTTTTTTTTTTTATAGGATGTCCGAGATAATTTTCCAAAGGCGTCCGAAATAATTACGAGCGTTTAGGATTTCAGGGAATCTTCGAAATATTTATTGCTTTGGCTCCGAGCTAATCTCCGATCTACAAACAAGGTTTAAGAGTCCATCTAGACAAACTTACATAACTACATAAATGTATGCGTAAAGAAAATTATTCAATCGTACGTAAATCTTTACAATAGAAATGTGATTGGATAATTTTCTTTACGCATACATTTATACGCTCTGCAAGATTGTCTAGATAGACCCTGAGCCGTAAGAAATTGACCCGTCACAGTCGAATGTGAGGAAATAATCGACTGTGATTGGTCAATTTGTTGCGGCTTAAGGCTTTTACGGTAAACTTAGGGCCGGAACACAGACTTTTGCATAATGCGTAATGCATAATGTATAAGGAGATCAATCAATCAGAATCCGTTTCGTGGAAAGGAAGAGTTCTGATTGGGAGGTTCTCTTTTGTTTTATGCGTAAAGCAGCATCTACAGTGAGATTTTAAGGCATAAAACTCGAGCTTTAAGCCTTAAGCCGTAGGAAATTGATCAATCATAGGGTAGTATTGATAATCAGATCTTATATTCAAGACCGTCTTAAACACAGTCTCAAGAAGTCACGAACCAATCAGAGGGCCGTGTTAGCGGGCATTACTTAAGAAACTACTTGTCTTACTAAATAAATTACTTGAGTTTCGAAAAAAAAACCAATTATGAATACCGCCCATAATCGATGACTTTCCTCACATTCGACTGATCGATCAACTTTACAAGGCTGAAATTTTACGCCTCAAAATTTCACTGCAGACGCCTTTACTTTATGTAAAGATCCGCGCTCACGTTCTTAGAAATTGACTGTTCCAATTTTACTAACTTATATTCCTGTACGCATCTAGAGTTGCAAGTGAAATGTCAGAGGTTTTTGTAGCCTGTAAGTTTCGCAAATTTCAACGTGGCAACCTTTTAGACTGACTTATTTATACGCGACTCTCTAATGTCATCTCTCGTCTAATGCAGACATTTCTCCATACCGAGATTTCGTATTTAGTGCCGTCATCCCCATCGGGTCCACGTGACGGGTGTACAACACAAAATCCGGTCGCGGCCTGCCAAATCCGGCCACGTATAAATCCCATAACTGCATTCGACGGCATGCCGATCGCGAGCCAGGGACTCCAGCCAAATCGATGCTGCGTGTATGTTTCTCCCTCTCTCTCTCTCCCTCTCTCTCTCTCTCTCTCTCTCTCTCTCTCATCCTCGTATCGCATCTACGTGACTCTCTTCCCATTATATGTGTTAACACCTGTTCCGGCAGGCAGCCGCGCTCTCACTCTTCACCCGTTAACCTTCGATTGTAGAACAACGATCGAGCCGTAATGCAAACACGAACGTATGTAAATATGTACGTACGTTTTGCTATCGCGTCTCAATTAATTCGATTTTTGTTTGGTTAATGTTTACCGCCCTCAACGCACATCTTATCCTCCCTGTTTGTTCAATCGAAGGCACTCGAGCTATCTTTTACCACTTTACGAAATCAATCAGTGTTGAGAAGATTACTTTAATCACGCAAAATATATATATATATATATAGCGCAAAAATGAAGCGAAATAAAAATAGAAGTCTCTTAAAAAAAAAAAAAAAAAAAGCAATATCGTTTTTGCAAAATACGCCGCGTTCAATTTCACGTTAATTAATGCGTTAAAACTGTTCGAAATCCGCCCGCTCTATAAAGAGTTAATTGATAAATAACGTGTGTACAAATCAACTTCTAACGCAACTTTATACAAAAGTTTTCGTTCAATCCACCAAATAACATAGTATGAGCCCTTGATGGCTCGTTAAGAATGATATTCAATCTTCATTCATTATTTTAACCTCGATGCAAAATTTCATTTGTACACGACAATATTCGCCTGTTTCCTTGGCATTCCATCCATTTCGTGCATTTATACGTGCATGATTGGCGTATCTAGATCAGCTTTATACGGATTTGATTGAAAAGACGAATTCCTTCTCTCCCACTGTAACGAACTTAACCCGTATGACAGACTGGCGTGATTAATTACCTCGGTAGTTCATAATTCGGCAACAAAATTCCCTTCAGTTCTTGTAGCATTCACGCCCGCGTGAATTTCCCTCCTCTTTTTTTTCATCCCTGTTTCAGTTATGAATCTTCTTCAAGTCACTTACGCTCGTTACCGCCATATATATACAGTAGTTGGTATTCAGCCCAGATTTGCAGATCGTTTTACAGGCGGAAGAGGGGAGTTGCGCGTAAGATACAGTTAATTCGCAACCACAAAGGATACTGGTGTGTGGATAGCACAGTATTCTCCCTAATATGGTGACCCATTGTGCTCACCCCGAACTAGATCCTATCTCGGCAACTGGCGTTTAAACAACAACATTTCCCTGCTATGCATCGTTGTTCGCTTATTGTTAGCTCAATTTTTGTAAGACGAGCCAAGAGTGCGTTGCCTTTTTGGCGCGATCGCAGAAACGTGTCACGAGAAAAACTAATCGAAGTAGTTTTACGATTTATTTGTTTGGATCGGGTATTTCAAATATTTGCGTTTCGTCGCTCGCGTTATAGAGCAAGAATTTTTCATGATCGAAATAATAATAATAACCGAACGTATAATAATAATAAACAATAATCGATTCTTTCGTGAAAGAATTGAAGGATCCGTTTAATTGTCTAATTTTTAAGCGGAAAAACTTGAAGAGACGCTCAATGCTAAAAAAAAAAATGAAATAAAATTAGTATTTTAATTTTCCAACACAAGTTCTGTTCAGGAGAACCAACTCAAACTTTATTAATCTAACTTAGCGGATGCGCGAAATCTTGGGCGACTTTATGTAATTTGACGCTTCGTTCTCCTAAACGAAGACGAAGCCTTTTCTTCCTTTTTCTATTCGAATTTCCTAAATCAATTACCCTCGCGTGATTATGAGACCAGGAGAGTATGTAAAATGCCTTCGCGTGTACAATTATTCTTTCCTTTACTTGACCACGCAGTTAAAGTATTAATAATGAGTTCCTGTCCGCCCTCCTGCTGCAAATAAATCGGGTAACTAACACATTAGGCGAAAGATTAAACGACAACAGTTCATCAAGATTGTAATATAAATAAATCGACTGCGCCGGCGGCAATTGTGTTTGATCGATATTGGGACCACGTCACTCATTACGTCACATATTACATAATATTACAGAATGTTACTTGTAACCCGAACGCAAATATAAATTCCGCAGACCCGCGAATTGCAGATCTATCGTTGCCAAGCGCCACACCAAAGATTTAGATAGAAACACATAATTTTCGGATGACCCATTTCCATTTCTTTAGCTCCAAAAAAAAGTCAAACTTTACGTTATCACGACATCAACGCGCGTTTTATCGCGTACGAGGGATCACATATATGTGTAACAACTTGAAAATTGAACGAAAAATTGCAGAGGTGCTTTTTTTTTAGGAGGGCTGTGTTTTCCCACTATTTAATAGTCAAAAACGGAAAAACTGCAAAAGCTGCAATATTAATAATTCTGAGTTATAGAATCATAACTGAAATATATAATCCCATGTCAATGCATTGATATAGATGTTGCGAGTGTACTGTTTGAGAGATCAGGAAGTTTATACGTAATATATAGTATTTGTCAAATTTGAATGATTTAATTGTAGAATTTATAGAAGCAGCGTATTACGAGAATGGAAAAAAAAAGAAAAAAAAATACATCATCTCACTCCTCGATTGATAGCGAAGGAGAATGACGATCGAGAGTGACGCCGGACTTGAACGCGTCATACACGGCGTGTTTACGGCTCTCATGGTCGATTAACTTCACGCGACGTCATCGACGGTAAACCGACCATGATTACGGATGGGGTGAAATTACAAATGCGCGATCGATCGATCGAAGGACACTATGACTATCTCCAAATTACGCCCGGAAGGGCACGGGTTCTAGGACGGATACTCGGCAGCGTATTAATATCCATCGCATCGCATCGCATCACATTGCATCGTATCGTATCACGTCGCATCGCATCGCATCGCATCGCATCGCATCGCATCGCATCGCATCGCATCGCATCGCCTCGGGTGCTCAATCTTGAAACGATGTACTTTTCCCAGCCATCCAGAAGTGGCAGCCGGAAACGAACTTCTATGAATTTTCACCTTTCCATCCGCACACACTCGGCGATAGTAAAAACTCAGCGAGCGAACGCGCACTATCACGGCTGATACTCGAGCGATAAAATTAACGAGTATTCGTTTAGCTTCCGAGACACGCGATCCGACTTAGCGTCACTCCAGCTCGGATAACAGCCGGACGCGAAAGGATCCCGAAGACTCGCAGGGAAAGTGATTAAAGGCCTCTTATTATCGCGTGACACGCCTATAAACGGGTGATAAAAAAATCACATAAATCGAATTTTCTTCCGAGTTTTAACGTGATATATATATACAGATATAGTATGGATGTGCCTGCAGTAGAAATCCGACGCGTGCTTAGAGAATATTCCGACGATCGTATTCGTTTAACTGCGACGTGTAATTGCGCTCTCAGTGCGATTTATTTAATCTCTCTTTCACACCTGCTTGCAAGGAGGATACAATTCTATCGTAACTTCAATTCTAAGCTCGGCAATGTCGATTACGTCGTCGTCTCTTAAGATTCGTTGCAGCTATATACTTTTTCTCAAATGTTTCACCTGTAAATTATCTTTTGTTTTATAAACAATAAATACTAAAAAGTATTATTACGTAGTATTATTTAGAGTCTTTTCATTATAATTGGAAATACCTTCCAAAATTGTAAGATGAAAATATGTTTCTCTTATTTCGATTTAGCCTTTCAACACACAAACAAACGTCATGTGTTATCGAATTTGGCAAAGAAAAAAAATTGAGAAAGACAATTTTACGCGACGAAGGAAAATTTCGGATATTGCAACAACGAAATATTGTAAATATACAGAAAGATGAAGTTTTGCTAATTATCTTTAGCAAGCGATTTAATTCCGATTTATATGCTTGCTTGAAAATTTGGTCTAATTATCTTGAATTTATTAACTTAAGAAAATAGTCGATTTGTCGATACGAGACAACGTTCGCACTTCTAGAGCTCTAGATTTACAAGAGCAGCAATTCTTTCATCTTTGAGGATGCCGACAACTTTCTTATCAGCTATTTCGATTTTGACCTAATCGTCTATCGTCCAAGTAAATAATAAATAATAAGTAAGCTTAGTAAATAAGCTAATAAATAAGCTTACAATTAATAATTTTTTAATACATGGTTAAGTGAAAAATGACAGACTTTTGCGCTACTTTTTGTAAATCTAAAGCTCTACATATTTCTCTATGATCTTATTTATCACGAGTCAAAAGTACTCTGTATACTCTGAATTACCTTCCGTTCGACCCGCTGATTGCAGAAATCGCGATAGGAATCGCGACTCAGGATTGCAGTGCAATCGATATCGACGAAATTCCACCCGCGATCCATTCGTCGCGTTAGGTAGCTCGAAATTGCAAAAAAGGGATACTTCTTGCATGTAATGTGGAGGAGATTGGAAGACGATTTTTATCGTATGAAATTTGTATCCTTTTTTTATTAGAAAATTAGATCATTCTATGTTTAAACGCGGTGTATAATTAAAATTTACGTAAACCATTTTTTTTCCTCGTGCTCTATTATATATAAGTATCTGATTTATCGAAATCTCATATATATGAAGTTATTATCTATGCATTATAATAATGCATAGATAATAACTTCGTATGTATGAGATTTTGATTTCGATAAATCGATATGTTATAATCATATGTTATCATAACAACACGTAGAATCACATTCTAATTAAGAAAAATTTACCACAAATCTCCCAATTTGCTCGCCCATTTTTGCCGAGTTATTAACAAGAGGAAGTATATATCGCGCGAAGGGAAGAAATAATATACGATGCATCCAAGAGTTGCAAGAATATAATGGGTCTGTAGTTTTATTTCTGTACCAAATTGCGCTAGAACTCTCTCGCTTTCGCCAAATATCAATCATATATTACCTATCTAACTTTAAGTTCCAAAAGTGTATACTAGTTCAGCCACTGAAAACAGACCTAATATCGCGAATAATGCTCAGTAAGTCTCGGGACTTCTCGAGACCGATCGTGGTTCGTTCGCGAACGTAACGCCGTTCACATTCACGAAGTTTATGAAGAAATTTCTCACCGTTCGGTACGCATTCACTCGGTATGGACGTGCGGAAAATTCTCGCAATTCATCTCGCTCGCTTATTATACATACATGCATATATGTATATATATCATCAATATATGACTGTATATATATATAT